GAACCCAGGTGCTTCGCCCGGAAATTGTTATTATCGGGTAGTGCTACTACCTGGGTTAGTTTTTACCAGTTCCTGACACCCTTGAGATAGATAAGAGTTAAATAGGTAACGTTAAATAAAAGTTGCCCAATTTGAATCCAAGAATTTGTTGTTGTGTCGTTATTCTTGTGTCTTTCTTCGGGGGTTGGTAGACAAATCAAGATATGCTACATCCACAGCAGCCTCCTTGTTGTTTATTCATTCAGTCGCTTCCAACTCTTTATGCCCTCATGGACCAGCCCATGCCAGAGCTCCCTGCCAGCCATCACCACCCCCAGCTCTGTCAAGGTCAAGTCAGTCACTTTAAGCATGCCATCCATCCATCTTGCCCTTGGTCAGCCCCCTCTTCCTTTTTCCTTCCATTTTCCCCAGCATCATTGTCTTCTCCAAGCTTTTCTGTCTTCTCATTATGTGGCCAAAGTACTTCATCTTTGTCTCTAATATCCTTCCCTCCAGTGAGCAGCCAGGCATAATTTCCTGGCATATGGACTGGTCTTCTTGCGGTCCAAGGCACACAACCTTACCATACTCCTTTCCCAATCTTGAACCAGTCTGTTGTTCCATGATCTGTTCTTACTCTTGCTACTTGGTTGTTATACAGATTCCTCAGGAAACAGACAAGGTGGCTTGGTATCCCCTGCCACCAAGAACTTGCCACAATTTATTATAACCCACAGTCAAATATGTTAAAATAGTCAATAAAGCAGAAATAGATGTTTTTCTGAAACTCCTTGCCTTCCTCCATTATCCAGCGGATATTGGCAATTTGGGCTCTCATTCCTCTGCCTTTTCTAAACCCAGCTTGTACATCTGCACTAAATTTTGCACCAATGAACACATAAGAAGGTTCCCAGTTTGAATATCAGTGAATCTCAAAACAGATCAAGATCTGCTGGGATACAAATGATGTTAATACAGTCAGATGATCAAGAACACAAAACATACTCAAATTACTCGAGTTTTAAACATGGAAACATCAAGTAGAAATCCATGTACACTATAAACAACAAGAAGAAAACATTATTCCTGTCCAAATTAAAACAACAATCAAAATGGAAATAACCACTGAAATAGAAAACTGGAAGGATTGTGACCTTAGGTTTTGTCCTTACTGAGACGATTCATATTGGCCTGAAAATGGATTTTGCTAGGAAGGGAGGAAACATACTGTGCAGAAATGCCATCTTCTGCCAATGGGACCACTGTGAAATCCAAGTCAGTCATAAAACTTAACAAATGCTTGAAACATTTACAACTCTCTGCAAATGTAATGGCACCTTTACCAAATACTTTTATTAAATTGCAAATTTTATGTGCCATAATGCCATGCACAATAAATTAGCAATGCCCTTATCAATCTCATGGTGGATATGAAGGCAACCCAGAAGGGAAAAAAAATCATGTTTAGCGTTAAGGATAAATAAAGTAAAAAACACTTTATTGCTTTGTGACAGAGGATTATAAAATATCTTACAATAATAGAGCACACGCCACAGTCCATAGAAGCGAAGGGATTGCCTTATAATGAAAAGAGCTAAAATTCAAAGTGGGGAAAAAGAGATCATGTCTGGAAGTATTATATAGTATTAAATCTTAGAATATTCTAGGGAGGGCATCATAAAATCTTAAAGGAAATAAAGCTTAATACTTTGGGAACTTAAGCTCCAAAAGACATGCAATTTTTGAAAGTCTGTTGATGCTTCAGCTTGGTGGATTGGACAGTTTCATGATACTTAACCAGAGTTTTCTGTCTTAATTTTGATTAGGGTCTTGGACATATAGCAAAACTATGGTTTACATAGATGACCCTTCATTGGTGTATAGGAGCTGTGCCAATGAGAAGGGATACATTGTCTGCCACATAATCTCTATTCTGCTTGCAGAGATGGAGGAAGATCCCAAAATGGACTTTTTCAGGACCAAGGGAGAGAACTGTTAGCTTTTGATCTGATGCCATCAAAGCTTCACAGATTCTCCATAGGCCAGATACTCAGGCTTTTCAGAAACAAATTTACTTCACATTTTCTGGGGTTAGGGTAAAGTGTCATTTTGAAACTGAAAAATGCAAATAAAGAAACTGGGTTATTTTTAATTGTGAGAACCCTCTCTAAGAATTTTTAGGTCTTCCAGCATTACTCTATGATTGACTTTGACTGGAAACTGGTCATAAAATCACATTGGAGGATCTAAAGCAGGCCTGTACAACCTGTAGCCCTCCAGATGTTTGGGACTCCAACACTTATCCAGTGCTCAGGAATTCTGGAAGCAGAAATCCAAAACATGGAGGGCCACAGAATGTGCAGGTCCGATCTAGAGATTCCTTAAGATGTATTCCCTCTAGAAATCTCCATATCCTCCAGTATGACAATAGAATCACAGTGGATGACCAACTGATTCCTAGAGAAAACATTTTAATCAAATCTGTAAATAATTATATCTGTAAAAGTCAAAACTGCAAATGTAGAGGGACATCTGTAATATTCTCATTGCATCTCCAAAAGGACCCATGCATCTTATAATCTTTTTAATGTTTTGTACTAGCCAGTTAGTAGGACCTCACTTGTCCCTTACTTACTTTGCTTATATCCTAGGATCTCTATATAATTTTATGTATAATATGAATGAGGAGAAAATATTTGGAAAATGGTCAAAAAACAAGGTAGTTTAGAGCATAAAGCCCCGTCAAGAAAAATTCTGAACTGAGATGCTTTACCTTTTTGAGACTTGTTCTGCACAAAATTCACATGTGGTTATTTTGTACTGAAAACAACATTTTCAACATCATTTTTGTGCAGAATATATTGTCTTTTGCGAAGCAATATCATGTATAGATATTGTGCAGAATAAAGCTTGAACTGTGTAGAGTCTGAGCAGTTTTCAAAGACTTTCACACAGTAAGAAGAAAATTGTTAAAATGATTTATAAATAAGAGTCAGAAGATTCTCCCTCAATTGAAAGGTGATCACTGGCCCAGTTAGCCGGTCTCTGTGCAGATCTTATATGTAGTAAGTTATGGTTGTGGCCCTAATTCATTCAGTATCTATGTCTCAATTCTTGTCTTTTTTTTGTGGGGGGGGGGGGTGTTACAAATAAGTCACCCTTGAGATCTCTTTTCTTGCTTAATGACATTTTGAATGAAATCTACTTGAAAAAAGTGTGTGATCAATTCCTGTAATAAGATGAATTCCTTATTTCCACTTGGAAGGACAAGAAAAGGAGGAAAAACCATGTCTCAAAAATTCTACACAATTCAGTATTGTAAAGATTAATCAGCCTTATAATGATATAATAAAGAGGAAGAAAAAAGATGGTAAGTAGATATGCATGACCTTTGCAGAATAAAAAAAAATCATATATTGGGGTTGAGTCCAGTTTCAGCTATACTTTAACCAGGTCTACTGGAATCAGTGCAATTTTATATTTGAATAACAAGTTATTATTAGGTCTCCTGGATTTCAGTTGTCTTGCTATTATGGTTATATCTGAACAGAACATAAAGGTGAAAAACCATTTTTGAAAAGATGTGTGGTTACTGCAATCCCGATTCAGAATACCTGTTAAGCAAGCTACTAGGCTACATTTTTAAAACTGAGCTTTAAAAGATGTCTGAGCTATTTTTGAAGGAATCTTTTTTACTGCTGTGCATCACCTTGGGAGCCTAGTGGAGTGAGGTAATGCATAAATGGTATACATAAATCAATATGTATCATCCTTTGTTAATTCAGGAAGTGCAATCCTAAGTCATAGATGTGCTACTTTTTGTAGATTCGGGTCAGGTGGTTCTTCTGCAGGCATAAACACCCTTCAGACAGCAGAGCACTTTTCTGCTATGTGATCTCAGTTCTGCTGACAGAATTGCTCTGCTGCAGGGACAGCCAGCAGACTCATTGTCTAGAGAAGCAAATTGACTTTCAGGTTTGTGGTTACTTTTTCCACAGCTACTCAGAGATCTATGGGAGCCAGCAGCAGTTTGGCACTGACTGAGTTCCTGTACTGTCTGGAACAGCCAGGGGCGGCTCGTCCATTACGCGAAGTAAGCGGTCTCAGAACACTTTTTTTTGCCAGGGGCG